AAATAACTGGTAGAAGCTTTTTTTTTAAGAATATTTCTTCTACCAGTTGAACTTTTTCATTATTCTTTTGATTCCATATAATCCCAGGCCATTATTTATTAGTTTCTAGAAAATTGAGTATCTGACATGAAAGTCGACACTAATTTCTCATTTATGCAAATAAAACTGAGAATTGGCCAAGATCAGCCGCTTGGCGATAAATCTTGTTAGTTTAATGATAGACTTCAGCTGATAAAAGTTGACAATGGACAGGTCAAGTATTAACACGTCATTCCATCAACTGTCGATGTTATTTATTGATCAAGGGACTGGACAATCAAACCTTTTAATATTATTGACTGGATGATCAAGCCCTCCCGCTAACATTATTCACTGAATTATTATGCCAATCTAAACTCTCTTATTGGACACAGTTTTATCCATTTAAAAGCTTACTAAGTGATCTATTTCATGAAAAACACAGAAATACAATCTTGAAAATGACCAACAAAAGTCTGGACAATAGAAGCTTGACACAATGGTCGGAAATAACCTCATTCTTATTGACTCTTGATGTTTATGTTCATATTTGTCCCTGTGATTCTACCATAAAACCAAAAACATTTTAAGACTGATATTCTTAATGTATCAATGAAGACTAATAGGTCTTAGGAATTAAAAAATGAAATCTAATCAGCTTGACAAAACCTTAAAGCACAAATCTCTGATTATTAAAAGGAGACATTGTCACCTCGGCTTACAGGCCAATGTTCAATAGAAATTACTTCCTTATCCACAATTTATTCTGTACCAATAAAAGCAACATCAAAAGTAGGGCTTTTAGAAATAATATCAGTACCATTCATATCAGCAGTAGATTTTATGAGATACTAAGACTATTGCCAATAGAAGTGTTCATTTGATTACCACCCTCAACAGTAAACATAATAACTAAATAGAATTGGTAATTCAATTAAGTATTCATATTTTATTCATAATAATTCCTTAAAGAACCTGTATTTAATGACAATTGGCTTCTAGAAACATGGTTGAGTTTTTTGCTCAAATTTGTGAAAACTATAAACCAAAATCTATAGAAATGGATCATAATAACATATCTGAAAGTTTTAACTAAAAAAATTCAGCTATTAATTTTTTAAAGCCAAAACGTAAAATGTTACATAACCTTTTAAAATTTGTCATGCTTTTAGCAAGCTGTTAGAAAACTACTGTACAGATTTGAATAAAATAAACGCCTAATTGTAGAGATATAAGTTTCCTACGTCCTACTTTTTCAACTAATAATATTGTGCCATTATAAAGTCAATCACTGAACTAGAACAAGCTGCTCAACAATGAGTACTCTCAGTTTTTAATTAACCCTTTTAAAACAAATTCAGTTTGATCAAGCAAATACATAGAGATAAATAGCATACTTTACTAAAGATATATTCAGGTATAATTTACGACATTTATGATATTAAAATGTTTTACAAAAAAAGTGGAATCCCGCTTAAAATAATAAATTCAGTTTACAGATAATTAAGTAACAGGTATTTCATAGCAATTAACTAAGAACTTTTGACAATTTGGTTAATTATTAGAACCTTCCTACTTGTTCACAACAATCAGTACTAAAAAAAAGTACTTGAATCAAATATCTAATAATTGATATACTTCACCATATGAAAAGCTCAGTAGCTGCTACCAATGTTTCGCCAATATGTGGTTAGGATTGGGTTTCGGGTTTTATGTGCTATTGTTAGCACTTGATTTTTTTTATATATATATATATATTCAATACTCATGAATAAATTTTTCTTTATCATTTCTTGTAAAATCTGTATTTAAAAACAATAAATAGTAGTAGAGCTAATTATCAAAATGTTTTTTATCAAATCTATAATGCTCAAGAAGAAATATTCAGGACTTTTGAAATGTTGTTTTGAAAGGTTTTGAGCACCAATACTGAAAATATCAGCTTGTTACCAATTTGTTCACCTTTGACCAAAATTTGGGCTAATGCTCCTGGATTAAATCCTCTCTAACTAAAATCACCACAACCCAGTTGTCCACTTCTTCAGAAAGATAAATACATGTATTTGGAAAGATATATTAGATAATAGTTCTTTGCTTCTTTGGTATCATATCACATTCTGTTGAAAAGTTCTAGGAACAGAAAAGATAGCTTGCAAGGCAAGGTAATATACGCCTACTGGCAGCTTTGATTTTGAATAAAAATATTAAGCAGTACAGTAACAACCACCAGTATGAAATATTCAACCTTCAGTCATACACTTCTTTTGAACTCTTTAGGGGGATACTGAATAATATTGAGTATGAGTTATTGCCCTTGTTTTTGAAAATGGGTTCAATTGTTAGCTGGTGAAAAATCTAGAAGGCAAATATTCAACCTTCAGCGCGGTACTGAATAATAAAACAAAGTTTTGTCAAAATCATTATAAAGAATTTCGATTTTTTTTTATTTTTTGATCCAAGGATGACAGTAAACAATCTGTGAAATCTGTCACAAATTGAGCCTTTTAGAGTGTTTAAGTGCTAAAACTCCTTCTCAAAAATAGGGGCACTAACTGCTACTCAATATTTTCGGATAAATCTGATTTTCTATAGGGTTCATCCTTGGGTGATAATGAAAATCCATCAAGAACTGTGTCTTGAAGAGTGTTTACGAGCAAATGTGGACGGACCGCGGACCATTTCATATGGGTGTATAAAAAGTGTCATCTGATTGTACAAGAAAATATGTCTATTGTCTATTTATATTAGCCAATGAATTTCTGACTTTCATTCTCTTTCTACTTTCGGTTTTGAGAATCTTCGTGCTGATCAAAACATTCAGCGGTATGTTACAATTTTTTTCCGGCTCACTGAATATCTTTGTATCAAATTCTTATGTAATATTTGAAATAAAAAAATAAAAGCGTGATTCGTATTCAAGATTACTATATATATGAAAAACCATCTGTTTATTTTTTTTAAATTTAGGAATTAAAATATTCAGACAAATGGCTCAAACTAATTGTGTCAACACTGTTCATTTCTGTTAGACCAGACCTTGCTATTTGTCTCTAGGTGCTAGTAATCCAATTTTTTTTTCTGTCCTTGGTGAGAAGTGTCAATCTATTTGCATGAACACACAACCACATCAGAAATGCTGAAAATTCAGACCAGAAAAAAATGTTTTTGGCCTCAAGGAAATATGACAAATGGGGGTGTGGTTTGGACACAATGAAATTCTCCATGCACATCACATGTAAAATAATATATTACATTCATTTTTTTTTTAAAGTTTTCATTATCAAAAATAATGAGATACAATCAGATCAATTTATGCCTGAAATTTATGCCTGACCAAACATATCAGCAAAGATAAAATTTTGATAATTTTGATAAAACAGCCATAAATTTCCTTGTCATATATCACCAAAACTATAAGTAACAAATAAGTTGCTAAATTTCAGACTAGTGATCTCAAAAACATTTAATAGAAATCTCTTGACTTTATGTACAACTGTCTCGAAATTCCAATGTAATAAAAACTATTTAAAACAATGTATTGTATTAAAAGCACAACATGAAACAGTAATTAATGTAATTATCAATGAAAAGATTCTTAAGGCAAAAAATGTATGAAATGTGCTTTACGATAAATGAACACTTTTTTTTGATTCAGCACAATATGTTTCCTTGTGGTTTCTTCAATTGTCATCAGCTAGAATTGATGCAAGTGATTGCTAACTGTAAATTATGGCAAAATTTTAATGACAATTCAAATGACCTAATTGATAGATATTTTAAGTCGTATTTTTGACAAAGCAGAAAAAAATTATTCTGGGCAAAAGAATGTACACGGATCATCTTTGATAAACAAGACTGTATGAATATCATTAACTTATTACTTGTTGTACTTCTTATCTAACTACTTATATATACCGGAAATATCCCTGTTATAAAATAATCTTGTTCAAGATTCCTTGGACAAAAATCACTAATTAATACATAAAAAATCTTGAAAGGTTCTCACATCCTTCACATCTGCACTATAGACATACTTTTAACTTTACTTAATTTAAAATCTAGAAACAACTGCCTTAGTGCATAGGAGCACAATAAATATTTGAAACCATAGTGTTATTGGGACAGATATATAATATACACCCTTAAAAAAGAACTGATGCTGTTCAGTCTCTAACCCTTCCCAACACCACTTCACATGGGAAAAACATCCTATGAGCCCCACAGACAATTCAGTAGACCCTGCTCACCCCCCCCCCCCCCACCCCCTCCAACTAACAATTCATGGAAAC